AAGAAAAAAACTTGCCAGGTGGATAGTTTTAGAGGGCATAGTACTAATGAGAAATTGGCAAGTGCAATGGCAATTAGCCACAAAACAAAGAATTTAGGCTGGTTAGGACCAGACACACCAGGGAACACCATAATGCACATGCTCTGAAGACCAAGTTGAAAAGTTCAGATGCCAAGAAGACCTTGGAAGCCTTCCCTAAAATGCCTCCCCTGCAAAACCAGGACAATCACAGACTCCTGTCAGACCCTGAATTAGGGAGGCACAAGTGCAGTGGAGAAGAACTACCTAATGACCATAAGCTCATACAATGTAAATGAGTTCCAGCGCATTTGTGATGGTGTTTGTTACAAATGAATCAGCCAATTTAATATTAAAGGAATGTATTAAAACAAATCAAAGTAAAATTGGAAAAGCCACAAGCAAATCAGCACCGAGCCAGGCGATCGGCGCTGGGTGAACTGGGTTCGGACTATGCAGCTCCGTACCCCTGGCAGTTCACAAGGTTGTTGTCTTTATGAAAGACAACGGCGACCTGGTTACAAGAAGACAGCACGGCAGCCCGGCTTCACCCGGGCTACTCGGACTAACGACACACGCTGGCACCAATTTGGTGGACGGTCGAAAGCGTTTATTATCTTATCTCATGGGTTTAAATAGGTTTGGGGGTCTTTGCTACGTCAGAGGGGGGCTGGGGGTTTCAGGGACAGTGGGTAGTGGAAATTTACCAGAACAGGTGTGGCTACATTCTTCTGGGACTCTTGGGGTTAACTAGATAAGCAGGGGAGAGAGAGGGGGGAAGGGGTCTGTCTTTCCGTGACATCCCGGTAATCTTCCGCTCCGCCTGTCCCTATCTTACCACATCTCCCCCCTCCTTATCACATATAAAATGAGGTAGTTGTAGATAGAGGCATTGGAGTGAGGTACAGACTTGTAACTTGTTAAGGAAAGGGTGGTTTAGTAGATCAGGGTAGATTTTTTAAGGCAGGTGCTGAAGGCTTTAAAAGGTCTAGTCTTTGCTTATTTTGTAAAACTACTTTTGAAAGCGAAGAGATTGATTTCTCTAGATAGGAGATGGATTTCTCGATTTTCTGCAGGTCTTCGTCGATGGTCATTTGCAGCTGGGAGAGTCCGTGTTGCTGGGTCGCGATGGCTGAGACGCCCGTGGCGGTGCCAGCTGCTCCCAAGCCGAGCAGCATTGCGATGGTTATACCTGTGATGATTTCCCTTTTTGTGGAGTCTGTTAGGTTTTTCGAGAAGATGGTATATCTTTTCGTCTGAGTGATGCAGGACTTTAGAAACAATCAGAACTTGAACACAGAAGTTGATAGAGTTATTAAACTTGGTAAGGAATATATAAGGATTTACTCTGGGTTTCTGGCAAACTTACATTTCAAATGTGGATGGGACTATTTATTTATTGGTCTTCTGTGGGGAGTGTCTCATTTGCACTGGTGGGGGACACTGGCTGTGGAGTAACTGAAGGGGGTATCTAAAGCATTGCTTTCGTAGAAAAGGGGGTTTAATATCATAGTAAAACTAATAGGGGTTAGTTAGGTTTGATTTGGTTTCATTTAGGGTTAGTAAAATAACTTCTAAACAGGTTGGCTATATGGAACACGAAGGATGGGGTATTTATTATGGTGACTTTTTTGAGCATTTTGTTACTTGTTGCACGACTCACTTAAATAGCTGATGAGGGTAGTGGCCTGGGCTAGCTTGTTTCTTTGGCTACAAGCTTGTAACAGTAAAATTGCATGAAGAAAGACACTGTGCATGTTTGGATCTTACCACCGTGGGATTTTCAGGTGTTGTCTGGCAGTTTGGTGGTCCGTTATCTCTTTCTGGAGCAGGGGTGTCTGTGTCACAGGGACGGTCTTCAAGCATGTCCTGCAAACAGAACTTATAGCTTTTCATTAGTTTTGTTTTGAGGGTCAAGTTCGGTTGTTAGCAGTGGTGTGCAGCAGTGGCTCTCATGGTCTCACCACATGGGGGTTCCGACTGCCACAGAGGCAGTATGTCTCCTACATCCCCGGGGGCTTTCTCCCCACTTTCATAGCCAGGGCTACCCCGGGGTCCCGTATCGGGGGCGTCTCTTGCTGACCCTGCGGCGCGCGCGCCGTTATTTGCGGTGGGAGGGGGCTGGGTTTGTCCGCGCGCTCCCCCCCCGCCCGCGCGCTCCCCCCCCCCGCCCGCGCGCTCCCCCCCCGCCCGCGCGCTCTTTGTGTGTCCGGGGGTTGGGACCTGTATTGTTTGGCGAGATGCTCTTTTCTGTCGCAGCTCTAAGGGGTATTGTGACTGCTTTTCGGTGCGGCTTAGAACTCTATTCGGTTTTGTTTTAAAGTGTGCTGGTTCCGTATCTTTTGTTTCGGAGTTTGGGCTGGCTCCCGCCGGCTCGGAGGGGTCGGTAGCGCTGTTGCCAGGCTCCGCGCCGGAAATGAAATGCCAGCGTACTTCCGGGGCCCCGCGCCGTTTTGTTCGGCCCCGGGCTCGCTCCTCCCCGCGGGGGAGGGGCCGCTCCCGCCCCCCCGGCTCGCCGCGCCCCCTGCGGGGGGTGGTTTTTGCCTTATATGGTGGCGGCGCCTGGCGCGGCCGCTGATTGGCTCTGTGCCCCGAGCCGCTCTCCGCCCCTTTCTCCCGCGCGCGCGTGTTTCTGAGATCGCGCGGTGTCCGAGTTTTCGCGCCGGGACCGCCCGGGCCCCGCCCCCCTCCGCGGCATTCGGCGCCATTTTCAAAGCGTCCGCGTGGCCGCGCGGCCGGGGATTCTCCCCGAGCCGCGGCTCCTGCGACTCCGGTCTCTCCCGCCGGCTCTCGCCAAGAGCGCCCCGCGCGCGGCTGCGCCTTTGACCGCGGATCTCTGACCGGCGGCGGGACGGATTGGGAAGCGGCGGCTTCTCGGGGTTTTTCTGCGGCGGGGTTTTCGCGGGGGTTTTTCGCGGTGGGGGTGTCCCGGGGGTTTTCTGCGGCGGGGGCGTCCCGGGGGGCTTGTGCGGCGGGGTTCGGCGCTGCTCTGCTTGGCGCGCCGGCGGGGAAGCGGCGCGGAGCCGCGGGCGGGCTTGGGTTCCGGCGGGAGCGGAGTCGCGCTGCTCGGAGCGCGCTCCGGCGGGGTCGGGGCCGCGCCGCTTGAAACGCGCCGCTCCGGCGGCAGCGCTGCTTCTGCCGGGCTGGGCTGGGCTCAGCTCTGCGGCGGGGCCGGGCTGCGCTCTGATCCGGGGAAGGGGTTGTCGCGCTGAGCTCTCTCGGGTCTCCGGTCCCGGGTGGACCCTCCTCAGGGACGGTCTGCGCTTTCGCCCCCCCCCCGAGCTCGGGTTTGACTAATAAACACGTATGTGCTGCACTCCGCGTCTCCTGCTTTTCTATTGCTTTGCGCGGGGTCTTTTTTACCTTGCTCCGTGCCGTAAAGCTCTTGTTACTGTCTGAGGATTTTTCCTCCCCGGCTAGCGTGGCTGTATACTGTTCCCATATCCCCGGATGCATGGCATCCACTGAGCATTCGGCTGCTCCAAGCCCAGGCAGCCTTGCTATAGCAAGATAAAAGTCCCTGAGCTTAAACGCGATATTCCATTGTCTCATACTTACGACCCATGCGACGCTGCCTATGACGCTCGCGGGTCCGGGGACGTCTCCCCTACGCCTGGGTACGGTCCGACCGTCCTGGCCGCTGCTTCTGTCCAGGTGAAACCCGTCCACCGGGCAAATTTTGTCCCGGGCTTCGGCACCAGTATGTTGTCTTTATGAAAGACAACGGCGACCTGGTTACAAGAAGACAGCACGGCAGCCCGGCTTCACCCGGGCTACTCGGACTAACGACACACGCTGGCACCAATTTGGTGGACGGTCGAAAGCGTTTATTATCTTATCTCATGGGTTTAAATAGGTTTGGGGGTCTTTGCTATGTCAGAGGGGGGCTGGGGGTTTCAGGGACAGTGGGTAGTGGAAATTTACCAGAACAGGTGTGGCTACATTCTTCTGGGACTCTTGGGGTTAACTAGATAAGCAGGGGAGAGAGAGGGGGGAAGGGGTCTGTCTTTCCGTGACATCCCGGTAATCTTCCGCTCCGCCTGTCCCTATCTTACCACACAAGGTACTGATTGCACAGGGTCTTTTTTTCACTCACAGGGTCTTTTTTTCACTCTCTTCAGACTTAGTGGGATTCCAGGGGGGTCTTCCTGTTTCTTCTCGTTGATCTTGCCTCTTTTCACATATTATGGTCTTTTCTTGTGCTGCTTCTAAACAGAGGTTTTCCCGGAATACTCTGATTGTAATCCCTTCGAATCTCTTGTTTTGGCAACTAATATTCATCTTATCGTTCAATATATATTTTCCAGACGAAATAATCCTTCAGAATAACCATGTTTTGAGACAGGAATTCATCCTGTGTATATTGCTCTTTCCCGTCACTTGGTTCCATTTAAAAAGATACTGTATTTTTTAGTCCTGAGCACGCATCTATTCTAAATCATATATTTATATTGTCGCTGGAACATTGTAATCATATATTACAATGTTCCAGCGACACAGTGACACTGAGCAACACTTACTGTATAAATGAAGCACAGCACGGGACAAAGGTGCGTGAGTTAGGTGCAGAAATCCCCTCACCACCAGTGCTGCAATAAACAAATACCTGCTCCATAGACAGCGGTCTGTGGGGATTTATTTCCAGCCTGTCTTTCGGGCATCAGCTCAAAGGGATGGAATTTCCCACCCAGGGTCCCCACCGAGCCCCAGTTTGGATCTGCAGCCCCCAGTTTTCCCAGTTTCCCTCTCCTTTTCCTTGTGTGGGGTTCCCCCCGCCCGCAGCGGCTGGGAGCAGCCGAGAGCCCCGCGCTGCCCATCCCGACCTGTCCCGGCTCCATCCCCGCTCCTGCCGCGGGCTGCCGGGGCTGCGGGAACGGGGCAGGAGGAAGGGGATGGCGGAGCGGTGATGGAGAAGCAGCGGGACAAGGGCTGGAGGGATTAGAGGAGGAGGAGGGAGGGTGGAGGAGGAGCAGGAAGCGGAGGAGGACGGGAGGAAGAGCTGGGATAGAGGAGGAGGAGGAGGAAGTGGGAGCAGGGGGACCGCATGGTCCAGCCCTCGCTGTGTCCGCAGCCCTCCCGCCCCCGGGGGCATTGTCCCCCCACCATGTCGCAGGTGACCGCGGAGGGAGGGGGAGCTCGCCCAGGTATCCCGGGGGCTCCGTGGGAGGGTATTTTTCGGGGAGAGGGGGATTTCTGGAGCTCGAAGGACTCCAAAGCTAAGGGTCAAACGGCCTTTGGGGAGATTTTGGGGGATGCCCCTGGAGGTTGCTTTTCTGTGGTAGAGGGCGGCAGAGGGGAGAACACTGGGACACCGAAGTGTGCAGCCCAGAGAGAGGAGATCCCCAGGACTGAGCCCGGAGACGGGAACACCCTGCGAGGGGGAAGCCCTGGAGCTCCCCACAGCCTGGAGCAGAGTCGGGGAAAGGGGAGCGCTGGGACCCCAAGAGCCCCGGCGTCGCTAGGTGGGAGCCCAGAGAGGGGGAGCCAGGGAACCCCCAGGAGCTGCAGGGAACCCCCAGCAGCACAGAGAAGGGGGAACCCCACAAGCCCAAGGTCAGAAGAGCAGAGAGGGGGGACCCCAGGGATTCCTGGGACCCGTGACAGCCTGGAGAGGATGAGGACCCCAGAGAGGACAATCCTGAATACATGCAGGACCCCCAGAAGTCCAGAGTGGAGAGACCAGAGAGGGGGAACTCCTGAGAAGTTTTTTTTTTGAATGATCATGAACCATTAAAGTCTTGAGGGTCTCAGTCTTGGTATTTCTGAGGGTTTTTTTTCAGCTAAATCTTGCTGATCTGAAGGTTTTTATGGATACAAAATGTCCGGTTACTTCTAGAGTCACTTGGGCAGAGAGAATCCCCAACCAACACTCTCACAGCTTGCTTTCCCCCAAACCTTGGCTGGATGGATGAGCAGGAGGCCGTGAGGAAGAGGAAAATGCCCCAAGAGCCCCAGGCAGGTGTGGAAGAAGTCACTGCCCCTTTCCCCCTCTCTCCTGCTCCATCTCTCACCCCTGCATGGCCCCTGGCTGCAGGACAACCCCGCTGCGAATGCTGTCCTGCTGGGGATGCATTGGAGAGATCTCCTTGGTGTTCCCTGAGGCAAATCCCACCCTCTCCTTGTCCTTTCTCCCCCAGAAAAGGAGCTGAGGCTGGAGACCAGGGAGGACAAGTCCCCACAGCAGAACCTCGTGGAAGAGGCCGTTTTGAGCAGCTCCATGGCACAGGAATCCAGTGGGGAGGAAAAGCCCAGGAGGAGGGGCTGCAAACGCAGATCTGAGGAGGAAAGACCCACCCTGGGCCAGGGAGGCAGCCAGAGCTCAGAGCTGGGGATCCATGAGCAGCTTCATGATGGGGAGAAGCTCCACAAGTGCTCAGAATGTGAGAAGAGCTTCAGGTGGAGATCCTACCTCCTAGCCCACCTTCGTGTGCACACAGGCGAGCGGCCCTATGAGTGTGGGGAATGTGGGAAGAGGTACCGGCACGGCTCCCACCTCCTCCACCACCAGCGGGTGCACATGGGCATACGGCCCTATAAGTGTTTGGAATGTGAGAAGAGCTTCAGCAAGAATTCCCACCTGCTCTCGCACCAGAAGATCCACACGGGGGAACACAAACACCCCTACAACTGTGGGGAATGTGGGAAGAGCTTCAGAGACAGCTCCACCCTCCTCACCCACCTGCGCGTGCACACTGGGGAACGGCCCTACACATGCTTTGAATGTGGGAAGAGCTTCAGCGTTCGGTGCAGTCTGACCTCCCACCAGAAGATCCACACTGGGGAATGGCCCTACGAGTGTTCTGAGTGTGGGAAAAAGGCTCGGAGCACTTCGGATCTCCTCAAGCACCAGCGCACACACACAGGGGAGAGGCCCTTCCGCTGCCCCGACTGCGGGAAGGGCTTCACCCGCAACTTCAGCCTCCTCACCCACCGGCGCATCCACAGCCGGGAGAGTCCCTTCAAGTGTCCCGAGTGTGGGAGGAGCTTCTCCAGGAGCTCTCACTTGACCAAACACCAACAGAGCCACCGGTAAGGGAAGCCCTGTGAGGGCCCTGACTGCAGGAAGAGCTTTGTCTGCTGCTCCAACTCCATCCCCCATCAGAAGATCCCCTTTGGGCAGAGCCCTGGTGACCCACATTCCCAGTGATCCATGTTGGGAATACAGCTGGCTGGTGCTCTCTGTGCCCTCCTGGATCCCCATGGGTACCTGGATGAATGCAGGGGCAGGAACAGGAGCATCCATCAGGACAGAGACTAACATCAGGAATTCATTGGGAAGAGGAGATTTGTTGACTTTAAACTCCACAAAGTCTCACCTGCTCTGTCCAGGCATTTCTTCTGATAGCATCAAGCAGCATTGGATGATTTTGGAGCCTCCCATGGCACAGCACGGCTGCTTTTGGGCTGTCAGCACTGGCCCAGAGCTGTGGATGGGGCCTGTGGGGGCAGCTGGGGGCATACTGGTGCTGCTGGGAGCGTCCCAGATGGGAGCCAAGGGAACTTGGTGAGCAGGGACCACAGGAAGGGGAAGGTGATAGGAAATGTGGGTAAGAAGGAGGAAAGCAGGGTGGGAGCCCCAAAAGGAGTGGGAGGGGAGTGGGATCCCCCAAACCAGGATCAGGGGTGGGAGCTGGGGATTCAGGGCACGATAGGAAAGGTGGGCGATGTAATGACGTTAGAGGGTTCCACGGACGGTTTGGGTGGATACAGACGAGAGATCTCTGCTGATTGCTCTTGGAGCATAAGGTTTATTTGGGATGGAGAGAGGCCTTGCCTCGAGCTGCCAGACACAGCACATGGCCAGGCCTGAAGTGATGGGTGAGGGGTGAGACAAAGCGGGGAGCAGGGACTCCAGGAGGGGGGATCCAGGAGGAGGGAGGAAGTTCCAAGAGGGGAGGGGAAGTTCCAAGAGGGCGTCTGGCCCCCCGGAGACCCCTTATCAGGGGGCTTCAAGGTGGGCTGGAACAGGACCTGGGCCAATGGGGTGACAGACACTTGATGTTTCAGGGGAGGGTTACAGGTGTGGGGTGAACCATACGTTCTGGGGGGTGAGATGGAACAGTCCCTTTGGCTTTTGGACCCCTCTGTAGGTAAGGGTATTGTCCAGCCAGTAAGGGGCATGATATTCATCCTGGCTGTACTATTGTGGTTCTTCTGCTTGACAATCATATTTATCTATCCTTCCCAACAGGGGGAGAAGAGGGAAAAGAGAGGGCTTTGGACTGAAGCTTTTTTGGGACAACCTAAAATGAGAGGCCAGACAAAATTAAGGATATAAAAAGCAGTTGTATTTATTGAAGGGCCTTCAAATACATTTCAGGCAGATGAAGCTCCCCCAGGAGCTACACCCAAGAATGGATGACAGGTCACAGGTTTTCATACTTTTATTCGTTTGGTCGATTTGCATAGTGGGGGTTAATCTTCCAGTTATAGGTTCAGGTAAGGAAGTAATTTACCCCAAGTTTGCTACCCCCCAAATCACTTTTGTTTACATTTGTGGGGGCCTGAAACACTGAGGCACCCTTGATTCCCAGGCCTGGAGAAGAATTGTTTTGTCTGACCAGAATGGGAAAGCAGCAGTGAACACTCTATATGGAGTTTAGAGTTATACACTAAAGAATTGCAGGATTACAAATATATGAAGAAATATAAAAGCTAAAATTGCTAAGGCATCAATGGCAGTTCAAAAGCATAAAAGGATTCATGACTCCTTGCTAAAACATTTAGATAGAGAGCATTTTCATGGGGGCACTGGCATTGTGCCAGTGTCAAACCATGACAATAAGAGAGACAAATTTCCTCAAGATTTGGTTAACCTTCCAAAAACATTCAGATGAAGAGCAAAATCAGAGAGCAAAATTGGAATCTCTGCTGAACGGGAAAAGGAACCTTAGCAGACAAATGCACTTTGGGCTACTTAAGGCTGCAGAGTGGGAGAGTGCATTGAGAGAGACGCTGGGTACATGGACAGGGATGAGGAGCCAGCAGGGTGAGCACAAGGACATGGACAGCAGGTCAGTGAGGAAGAGTTGGGAAAGTGCAGGAAGAATTAGCATGTGAAAGACAGAGGTGAGCTCAGGCTTGGAAACCTCTAGAAGCAAAGAGAGTGAATAAGCCAGGACAGGAATCAGTAGGACGAAGAGAAGGAGAAAAAGACATAAGTGTGGGACAAGGAGCTGGAGAAGTGGCTGTGGAAGAGGAGGGAGAGCCAGGAGAGCAGGCAGTGGAAGGAAGAGAAGAGGCACCTAAGGAAAAGGGAGAGGCTGTGGAAGGGCAGGCAGAGACAGCGTGTGGGCAGCGGCTGCTGGGGAGCAGGAAGAAGTTACAGAAGAGAAAGTGCAGGGATCCTTAGGGAACCAGGTGTTTTCCTAAGGGTGAATGATCCTCATAACCCCTAGTCCCAACATGCAGAGGGCTGTCTATTGTTGAGGGGTTTAAATCCCGTGGAGAGGGAGAGCAGGCTTTGGGGAAGGCGGTGTTGTTGCTGTGAATGATCAGGAGAAGGAAAAGAAGCTGCAGGGCTGCAAGCAGAGGGGCTCTCACCACCCGGTCTGATTGTATGAGGAGGCTTCAGGCAGAGCTTGGTGATGGTGATGAGAGAGAGGGAATCTTAGAGGAAGAATGGCAGGATGTAGAGTCTACAGCCCTAAAGCAAATTGAACCCAGAAATGATTGTCAAGGTCAGCCCACAGCTACCAAACAATGCCAGACATGGCGACTGAGATATGCAAGTTATTTCAGGATCAGTTAACGGAAGAGGTGGGACCACCCTGTAAGTATTCCCACCCTGAATGTGGATGTTGTGTCTGCACTAACCCAAGCACAAGCCGTAGGTGAAAGCACACAAGGAGCTTTCAACAATGGTTCAGTTATTAACCCAAGCCCAGCTCCATCCAACCAAACAAAGCCATTTCTCTGCCTTGGTGCTACAGGACTGGGCCAGGGGAAAAGGAATTCAATGTATTTTTCACCAAACAAGCCAATTAAGCTTAAGCACCACACATGGTGACCAGTTTTCAAGGATTTATCCACTATTGGAGCAGTGACTTAAATATTTATCTTCACTCGGTTCTTTGCGGATAGCTGCTAATGTCCATGATAAACAGCATTGTATCCACATGAACGAAATGGTGTGAAAAATCTATTTATCATAAGAAGCTGCAGAGCTTAACCTTTTAAGCAGGTTAATTCTCTTCATCCAAGAACACTCAAAAAACTGCTGATATTACCAGGCCTCTCGATGATTTTTGAACAGTTTTGGGAATCTGGAGATGGCCATCCTGACTGGATGCTGGCTAAGAGTTTTCCAAAAGGTCAAGAAGGATGACCCTGGACACCACAGGCCTGTTTGTCTCACTTCAGTGCCTGGTAAAATTACTGAGATTATTCAGGGAGGCATTGAGAAACATGTGGAGGACAATGCAGTCATTGGTCACAGGCAGTGTGGCTTCAGGAGGGGAAAGTCCTGCTTCTCAAACCTGATTGCTTTTGGCTTTTTATGGCAGCATAACCCACGGAGTTGGTCAGGAGAGCTGATGTCGTCTTTTTGAATTTCAGTAAAGCTTTAGGTCCTGTCTCTGCCAGGATCCTTCTGGAGAAAATGTCTAGCCCCTAGTTTGGTAAACATGTCATGTGGTGGGTGAGCAACTGGCTCAGGGGTCAGGCATGGGTGACAGCGCCTGGGGTGACACCAGACTGGCGACCTGTCACTAGTGGGGTCTGCAGGGCTCCACTGCCAGCCCTGTGCTCTTCATCCTCATGAAGGACCTGGATGCAGGACTCGAAGGAATAGTAAGCAGAGTTTGCAGACAACACTAAATTGGAAGGAGCTGTTGACTCCCTCAAGGGCAGAGAGACCTTAACAAATCAGAGAGATGGGAATCATCAAGCATGTGAAGTTTGACAAGGCTGAAGGCACTTGCAGGACACCCCATAGCAGTGTACAGCTTCTTCCTGAGGGGCAGTGGAGGGGCAGGCACCAATCTCTGAGCTCTGCTGACCAGTGACAAAACCAAGGGGATGGCTTGAAGCTGTGCCAGGGCAGGGTCGGGCTGGAGATCTGGAAAAGATTCTTCCCGCGGAGGGTGATGGGCACTGAGTGGCTCCCAAGGGAATGGTCACGGCCCCAAGGCTGCCAGAGCTCCAGGAGCATTTGGACAATGCTTCCAGGCACAGGCTGGGATTGCTGGGGTGTCCTGTGCAGGGCCAGCAGTTGGACTTGATGATCCTTGTGCATCCCTTCCAGTTTAGGATATTCCATTATCCATTGAAAATCCCTGGAGGAAGTGCCAAGTGCTAAAGCACGAAGGTTAATTCCTGGCTCCTGGCCAGGAAGCAGGTACCAGCTGCCTGGTTTGCAGGTAGAAATCTCCATGAAAGCGTTTTGGGTTTCTATGTTCTGAAAGGTGGCACTGCCTGCATAGCAGTGTGGGCCTTCAGTTCAGCACTCTTTGTGTCTAGAGTTGAGCCAGGAATGTGCCATGGTGGGGTGCTCCTTTCCTACAGTCACTTCTGTACCGGGACCAGACTTGGGAGTGGGGGGAGCAAGCTCCAGATCCAAGCACCATCCCCTCAAACCACAGAATATTAAAGTATCTCCTCAGGAGTGCCAGATGAAGGGGAAATTTGGGGCAAGGGGGGACATGGCAACACCCCAAAAAGTCCCCCAGATTGTCCCTCTGCCCTCCCCAAACCAGCCCACATTCACCCTATAACCCATCAATCCCCAAACCTCTCCATCACCTTTCACCCATCATCATCACCTCAAAATTCATCACCCCAAAACCCATCACCCGAATCCATGGTCATCCCCACAACACCCACCCATCATAATCACCCCTAAAGTCATTACCTCTCACCCATCAATTACCCCAAAATTCATCACCCCCACCTATGACCCCATAACCCACCACCGTCCAAACCATCCCTAGAACCCCACACCCACCATCATCACCCTAAAAATCATAGCCCTCCATCTTTAATCACCCCAAAATCCATCAGTCCCCACCCATAATCACCCCAAAATCCACACCCCACCCCATAACCCCTCACCCCCCAATCCGTACCCCCTCACTTGCCCCATTCTGCACCCCCAGCTCTGCCCTGGCCCTGCTGTGGCTGTGTCCCCTCCTCCTGCACACGGAGCACAGCTACTGCTGCAGGGGTGGCCTCATCCTCTCGTGTCCCCTTGGGTCCCTGCGGCTCTTTGGGCCCCTTGGAGGGTCGGTAACGCCCCCTGGAACAGCGACCGGTGTGCGCTGGCCTTGGGGACACCCCTGTAACCTCCCGTGTCACCGTCGGTGTTGGGGTGACTGTAGGAGCGTTTCCAGCCCTGCAGCCACACCCAGCGCTGCCCCCGGGGACCCCCCACCCCTTTAGAGGTCCCCTCTGGGGGAGGTGGCAGTTGCACTGCACCACTTGTAGGTCTTCAGTAGGGCGGGGGGCTCAGGGGTGGCTGGGGGGGCTTTCACCTCCATCAGTTCTGGGGCGGGGGAGTAGTTTGGGGGGTTCAGAGGCTGCATTTAGGGGCTGGTGGAATGGCAGGAGTCATTTTGGGGGTTGCATTTGGGGGTGGTGGGATTGGGAGAATCATTTTGGGGGTTGTATTTATGACTGATGGGATAGGGAGAAAAATCTGGGAGGGCTCCAGGGGCTGCATTTGGGGGTGGTGGGACACAGAGAGGCATTTTGGTGTTGGATTTTGGGTTGGTGGGACAGAGGAGGCTGAATTTGTGAGTGATGGGATGGGCAGAATAATTTGGGGAGGTTCAGGGGCTGGATTTTGGCATGGTGGGGGAGGCACCCCCAACCTGGCATCCCAACATTGAAAAGTCCCAATTGGTGGGGTCCCAAATCCCCAAGGTGTCCCTGCCCACCCAGGGACCCCAATTTTTTGGGTTGTCCCGCCTACCCAGGGTGTCCCCACCCAGTGGGTGCCCACACCAGCTTCCCGCAGCATGCCAGTGTACAGCTGGGATCCTTCTGGACCGGTGTCCATCCAGAGTGGGATCCACGGCTCTGGTGTCTGTGTCCATCTGCACCAGTGCCCAGTCTCTCCTGCCCCCGTCCATCCCAGACTCCCCGGCCGGGGCTGCTCCTCACCCCAGAGTGGACAAGACCCATGGTCAGTCCCAAGATGACCCCAGACCCTCTCCCACCAACCCCACCAGGCCACCCACCTCGAGCCCCAGGACCACTGGTGTCTCCTGGAAGCCGGGCCAGCTCTGGATCTCCTGGAAGAGGAGATCCAGAGTCCTGGGCTGGGGACTTGAGGGCATCCAGGATGGTGAGCACCGAGTCCATGTGGTGTGGGGGGACAGATAGGAACACAGCTGGGGACAGGCCTGGGGGGACGGGGTGGGGGGTGAAGGGGGTTTAAGGGGTGGGGAGAGGGTTGGAGGGCGGGATGCACCCAAAAATTTGTCAAAGTCAAAGGGGAGGGCACCCAAAACTGGGGGAAAGGATGGGAAAGACAGGAAGGATCCAAAATAGGCGGGAACAGACCCTAAATAGGGGGAAGTGACCCAAAATGGGGAAAAGACTTGAATGACGGGGAAAGAATCCAAAATAGGGACGAGAGTACACAAAAAATAAGGTGAAGGGATCTGAAAGAGGGGGGAAGGATCCAAAACAGGGGAAAAGGTCCCAAAGTTGGGGGAGAGGACCCAAAATCAGAGGAAAAAGGGTGTTGTTGGGAGTGTTGCAGGGTGCCATGGCATGTCCCTACCTGTTGCAGGGCAGGCGCAGATGCTCAGCACCAGGAGCAGCCACAGGAACATCCTGAGGGTCACAGGGACACCCTGCAGGACAAAGGGACACCCTGCAGGACACAGGGACACCCTGCAGGACATGGCCCTGGGGCTTTGGGGACTTTGGCCCTACCAGGGGCAGGGGACAGGGACACTGGGGGAGGGACAGGGGCACATGGAAGGGTTCAGGGACACATAGGGCAGATGGGGACAGTAACTCACAGGGAGGACAGGGACACCCAGAAGGGTGACAGGGAGCCGTGGTGGGGAAGGGGGACAAACAGAGCGGAGGGAACGTAATGCCACCAGGACACACATCAGGGGACAATGTCACCATAAGTGTATGGACACTGCCATCAGGACGCCTCTGGTGACACCCAGCATGAGGCCACCTGGGCCCCCAGGTGACACTGACCCTTGCCCTGTCCGCAGTGGCGGTTGGGGCCCCCTGAGTGCAGTGGCCCTGGGACACCCTGGTGGCTGTCACTCGCTTCCAGGACACTTGTCACCAGTTGAACAAGGTCCCTGTCCTGCCCTGGTGGGTGGTGACGTTTGGCTGGGACACTGCAGTGGTGACAGTGGGGACATGGTAGCAGGAGCTGCAACAGACTGTGCCTGGCCATGGCTTACAGGAACCTGCTGGTGGCACAGGTGGCGGCACTGTTGCTGTCCAAGTTCATGTCCCCATCCATGTTTCCCATGTTGCCACCCATGTCCATGTCCCTTCATGTCCCCATCCATGCCTTAGTTCAATGTCTTTAGTTTTACTCTGGTTTCAAGGCTTTCAAAGGGATGAACAAAAACCTTTTCGTTTCAAGGCTAAAACAAAATTATTTATGTGTCCCTGCCAGCAGAGCATCCATGTGCTTGAGTGGGTGGGAAGAATCTTTTTTTGAAGGTGTTTCCACCCATCTCCAAAATCAGAAGTTTTACCACAGTCCATCCCCATATGGCTGTGGAAGATGCCCGTGGGCCAGAGAAAATTAAAACAAAGGATTTATTTCGGAAGAAGACCTCTAAGGCTATCCAGTTTTGCTATGCCACCAAAAGATGCAAAAAGATATTTTTCTGGAGTCAGAAGTCAACAAATCTGCTCTCCACCAGGGATTTCTGATGTTGGCCTGTGGATGTGTCCTGGTGCCCATGGGGAGCCGGGAGGATGTGAAGCCCCAAGGCAGGTGTCTTCCCAACACAGATCACCGACACCACGGATCACCGGGGCTCTGCCCACCAGGACACACTGGGGATCATCCAGAGCAGACTCTCCCGTGGGGGATGGAGATGGAGGAGAACACAAAGCTCTTCCTGCACTCGGGGCACTCACAGGGCTTCCCTTACTGGTGGCTCTGTAGGTGTCTGGTCAAGGTGCCACTCTGTGAGAAGCTCTTCCCACACTCAGAACACTTGTAGGGCCTCTCCCCAGTGTGGATGCGCCGGTGGGTGACGAGACTGCAGTTGCGGGTGAAGCCCTTCCTGCAGTCAGGGCAGCGGAAGGGCCTCTCATCTGTGTGAAGCTGCTGGTGCAGGATGAGACTGGAGCTGGTCTGAAACGTCTTCTTGCATTTATCACACTCGTAGGGCCTCTCCCCAGTGTGGCTCCTCTGGTGGTAGATCAGGTGGGACTTTGACATGAAGCTCTTCCCACACTGCCCACACTCGTAGGGCCGTTCCCCCGTGTGGCTCCTCTGGTGGACAATCAGTTCAGACCTCGACCTCAAGCTCTTCCCACACTGCCCACACTTGAAGGGCTGTTGCCCTGTATGGATTGCCATGTGGCGGGTCAGGTGGCAGCTCTTCTGGAAGCTCTGCCCACACTCAGAACACACATAGGGCCGTTCCCCGGTGTGGCTTCTCTGGTGGATGGTCAGTTCAGAGCTCGTCCTGAAGCCCTTCCCACACTCCGCACACTCGTAGGGCCGTTCCCCTGTGTGGCTCCTCAGGTGGGCAGTCAGAGTGGAGTTCTGGGTGAAGCTCTTCCCACATTCGGGACACTCATAGGGCCTCTCCCCGGTGTGGATGCGCAGGTGGGTGACCAGGCCGGAGCTGTTCCTGAAGGCCTTCGCACAGCTGGGGCAGTGGAAAGGCTTCTCCTCTGTGTGACTCCGCTGATGCCTGACAAGACACGAACTCATCTGAAACGTCTTCCTGCATTTATCACACTCGTAGGGCCGTTCTCCAGTGTGGATTCTCCAGTGGCGGATCAAGTCACATTTCTGGCTGAAGCTCTTCCCACACTCTGAGCACTTGTGGAGCTTCTCCCCATCATGAAGCTGCTCATGGACCCCCAGCTCTGAGCTCTGGCCGCCTCCCTGGCACAGGTTGGGTCTTTCCTCCTCGGATCCCCGTGATCTGTGTTTGCAGCCCCTCCTCATGTGGGATCTCCTGGGCTTTTCCTCCCCATTAGATTCCTTTGCTGTGGAGCTGCTCAAATCGGCCTCTTCCACGAGGTTCTGCCATGGGGATTTGTCCTCATTGGTCTCCATCCTCAGCTCCTTGTCTGGGGGAGAAAGGACAAGGAGAGGATGAGATTTGCCTCCGTGCCACAGGGAAAAGGAAGGCGATTCCCCCAGTGTGTCCCCAGCAGGACGGTGTTGTCAAGGGGGTTGTCCTGCAGCCAGGGGCCAGGCTGGGCTGGGAGATGGAGCAGGAGAGAGGGGGAAAGGGGCACTGACTTCCTCCTCACCTGCCTGGGACTCCCACACCATCTTCCTCTTCCTCGTGGCCTCCTCCTCCTGCATCGGGCCAAGGTTTGGGAATGGGAAATCCTGATTTGGGGTGAAAGCAAAGGATGAGCCCGTTGGGTTTGATGGTCCCGCTGCCCCAGAATTCATCTCAGCTGGAGAAGTCAGCGCCCCTTCCAGCCTCGGTGGCCCCGAGCCCGCTCATCCCCACCTCCCCCGCCCGTCCAGGCAGCCGGTTTGTCCCCCGCTCCGGGATCGCCCCTCTGCGCGCTCCCCGCTCCGGGGCTCCCGCGTTCCCCGGGGCTCTCCCGGGCATCCCCAAACCCGGTATCGCCGCTGTGCCCGCCGCTACCGGGAGATCGCCACGTGGGATCCTCCAAATTCCCTCCAGGGGCATTTCTGGCGCAGCTTTGGGGTCCGGCAAGATCCAAACATCCCCTGCCCCGCAAAAAAAAACCCTCCCGGAGACCCCCCCGATGGATCTGGGGCGAGCTCCCCCTCCCCGCTCACCTGCGGGTTCCGAGGGGGGTGATACCAGGGAGCTGCGAGCTGAGAGGGGAAACGGCGTGTGTTGGTGCTGCTCCTGCTCCTCCTCTTCCGTCCCTCCTCTTCCTCCCGCTCCTCCTCCGCTCCCAGCCCGGCCCGGGCGGTGCCGACACCCAAAAGCGGCCGCGCTCTGTCCTGAGGGGGTTCCCAAAGCGGCCCCGGCCCGTGCGGCACTGGGAGCGATCCTGAGAGCACCGGGAAGGAGCTGGGAGCGCTTTCCCTCCCGGCACCGCTCTGACTGGGAGCACTGGGAGGGAACTGGGAGCGCTTTCCCTCCCGGCACCGCTCTGACTGGGAGCACTGGGAGGGAACTGGGAGCGCTTTCCCTCCCGGCACCGCTCTGACTGGGAGCACTGGGAGGGAACTGGGAGCGCTTTCCCTCCCGGCACCGCTCTGACTGGGAGCACTGGGAGGGAACTGGGAGCGCTTTCCCTCCCGGCACCGCTCTGACTGGGAGCACTGGGAGGGAACTGGGAGCGCTTTCCCTCCCGGCACCGCTCTGACTGGGAGCGCTGGGAGGGAACTGGGAGCGCTTTCCCTCCCGGCACCGCTCTGACTGGGAGCGCTGGGAGGGAACTGGGAGCGCTTTCCCTCCCGGCACCGCTCTGACTGGGAGCGCTGGGAGGGAACTGGGAGCGCTTTCCCTCCCGGCACCGCTCTGACTGGGAACACTGGGAGGGAACTGGGAGCAAACAGCGCCCAAACAGGAATGGGGACAGGGAGCGGGAATGGGGACCGGGAATGGGGACAGGGAGCGGGAATGGGCACAGGGAATGGGGACCTGGAATGGGGACAGGGAGTGGGAATGGGACGGGGAATGGGAATGGGGACAGGGAGTGGGAATGGGGACAGGATGGCGTTGGAAGTGGAGTAGCCCTACAGCTGGGAGCCCTTCTGGGCTGGGAGATGGAGCAGGAGAGAGGGGAAAATGGGCAGTGACTTCCTTCAAACCTGGCTGGGCCAGGCCATCTTCCCCTTTTTCACAGTCCCCTCCTCCATTGAGCCAAGGTTTGGGAAATGGAATTCCTGTTCTGGGGGAAAAACAAGGTGCGGGTGTGTTGCCTTGGGTGTTTCTCCTGCCCAGTTCCATCTCTTGAAGTCACCAGGCATCTGGTGTCCATAAAAACCTCCAGACCACCAAGATTCAGTCATTCTCAAAACCCACCAAGTTTCACCAAACAACCATCCACCCAGGAGTTCTCCCTCCCTCTCTGGTCTTTCCACTTTGGTGGTCAGGGGCTCCCTCCTGTCTTTTGCAGCTCCAGTGTGTATTGGTATCCCCTCTCTCTGCACTGCTGGGGCTCCTGGCAATCCCAGAGTTTCCCCTTCTTTGGACTCCCCAGGTGGGTGTCAGAGGGGCTCCAGGGGTACTGCCTGTGTGGGGTCCTTGTTCCAGGCTCCCGGGGTTCCCCCTTATCAGGACGTCTGCCCCACAGGCTGCAGAGGGTCCCCAAGCTCTGGTACCACCCTTCTCTGCTCTCCCAACCCTCACCCCTTCCAGGCGATGGGCACATGGCTCTGGGCTGACAATGAAGCACCTGACCTGAGCAGCCCAACCACCACCATGGGAGGGTCCCACACATCCCCTGGCCCAGCGCTGAGGCTCTGCCAGTAGCCAACACCAGGACCTCCCAAAATCCTGCCGCCTTGGAGCTGCTGAGCAGGTGTCTGACTTGTGGGAGCTTGTCCTGGAGCAGACAGGCCAGGAACTGGCCCTAGAGCCACCCAGCAGACATGGAACATCAAGCTTCAAGAGATAAGAAGCCACAACTGATGACATCCAGGCAGCTTATGGCACTGAGCAAGGGACTCTGGGACCAATTGGGAGTGGCTGTGCAGATCAGGATGGTGTAACAGCCCATGACTGGCCAGAAGGCTTCTGGAACATTCTATGGGAGACTATATATGTATGTGTTGGCCCCACTTCGGGGTCATCTGAAGCAGCCTTTTATATTTTGTTTGGCACGCTTATTTGTGTCTTTTTATTTATTCAATAAACTTCTCCAGTTTTGGCACTTCAGCTGTACCCGTCCCTTCCTTGCTGTCTGTGCCACGCAACCACACAATCGTCAAACTCCTGTGACCAGAGAGTTTCCCCGCGGCCCCACAGATCCCTTGGGGTGTTGTTGCCGGCCCGTCTCTGGCCATTCCGCTGCCAGCAGGGTCAGGGATCACTGGCTGTTGCACACACAACGCAACGCGGTCCTCGGCCCTGAGCAGAGAGCTCGGCCCGGCGGCGCTCGGCAGCGGCCCCGGCCCGCCCGGCCCGCGGGAATTCCCTGCCCCGGGACACCCAAAATACAAATACATAATCGTAATTTTGGTACATCCCATTCCTCGCTTCATATGCTAATAATTTCAAAAAGCAATTAAGCATGTGTAGTTTGTTCCTTGAAATGGGTTGGTGGTCCCTTTCATGGGGATGAGTCCCAAAATGAGGAAGTAAATGAAGTCTTCCTCCTTCTGACCTTTCTACCGTTTCAATGCAAATATGACAAATGAACTCTTGGTAGAACTCCCATTCCTTGTCTTCAATTGGTTTCAGAACAGAGGAGGCCCACCATTGTCTTATGTTCCTAAAAGCTATTTGTCAATTTCTATATTCTTCATTATAAACCCAGCTAACTAAACATTGTGTTGACAAGCAATCAATTATTAGTTAACTACTAACTCTTAACTTCATCAAGGCTTGCTCATTTATTTTAATTAACTCTGGTAAGGCTTATCTCTAACTAAAATCTTAGCTCCTCTAAAATCTCTAAATTCCTTAAAGTTTATGCTTCACCCAGCACAGCTCCCTCGAGCCGGGCACTGTGGGTTCCGAATGAGGCAGAATATTCAGCTCATGGAATCTTTGTTATCTCTGCTTACATGTGCAAAAACAGCTGCTGCTGAGACAATCCTATCTCAGACTGAAGCCTTCCCATCCAAAATGCTGTGTTCAGTTCTGACACACCATTAAGAAATCCAAGAGCAAAACTGGAAGCTGATTACAGAATCTTGCAAAACCACATCTGAGAACATTTTGTTACAAAATCGCAATTAACAAAAGCTGAGAAAGTCAACCATTTTAGGAAAAAGCTTCCAACACTGGGAGTAGAAGAGCTCAGGCAATACATTTGATTGGAATGAGCCCTCTCTTTCTGACACTTGAGCAATGCCACTGAGAAGCCAGGGAATCTCAGAAACACGGAAAGCTGGACAAGACAAACGCAGATCTGAACCAATGTGGTTAATCAAGCGTTCTCCGTTTATTCGAGATAAGATGGTAGTTTATATAAGCTTCTACATAGTTTACAAAAACAAAGACACTCTGATTGGTAGGCTAACATGGTTTACCTTTTCCTTAAAACGGCCTACACCTTACACTATAAAACCTATACTAATTCACACCCAGACAACCCAGTGGTCCCCATCACACCTTAAGACTATTTCTATCTGCGCCACAAGCTCTGAATTTCTAACTGCGTCAGAGGCTTGAAGGCCCACAAGGCCCAAATCTGAGGCCTAGACTGGAGTAGCTCAAATCTCATAACTCATGTCCTCTTTCTCTCAAAAATGCTGCAACAATTCCCTCTTTTTCTTTTTGAGCTACTCAGGCTGGAGTGAAGGCGTGATGAACTAATTTTTGCACACACTGTAAAAAACACGGTATAACAATTAAAATAACTATAAAGATAAAAAGAAGTACAATACCAAAACGAATTAAGTCTTTGACCCAGCCAGAAAAACCTAAAGAATTGAGCCAGTTATCAAATGGAGTGTCCACTATGGTAAGTTTTTTCATGTTGTCCTTCAATTGCGTTAACTGTTTATAAATCGATTGAAAATGGTCAGACAAATTCATGCAGCACATGCCTTCAAATTCTTTGCACCCATGTCCTTGTGCTAAAAGAAGGAAATCAATTGCAGCTCTGTTTTGTAGAACCGCATGACGGGTATCATCTACATCTGCACCAAGCTCACTTATCAATTTAGATGTGATATGAATTTGTTTTCCTGTCTAGCAGGCTAGAGTTCTCAATTGTGTGAGCGCTTTTGATGAGGCGACCCCTGGGGCAAAGAGTGAGGCTACTACGACAGAGGCACGCCCCCACAATGACACTATATCTTTACAATTAGGGTCCATTTGGAGAACACTGCGTTTGGCTCGTTGAGTCTTCTGAGGCAATTCGAGAACCTGATGTATGGTGGGAGCAAAAAGCATCAACCTACCGATATAACATAGGCCTCCCCTAGCATTTTGAGGGACTGCTGACCAGGCTCGGTCCCCACAAATGAGGAAGGTTCCTGGGGGCAGTTTTCCTGCACCACCTCTTGGCGGTGTCACAGATTAAGACGAATTGTTACAATATTCTGAATAGTTGTAATACAATGGTGATCTGGGAGACAACCAAGTGTCGTCATCTGTCAATTTTCCATTTTCTTGAGTTGGTTTGGTAGCATAAGATCCAAATATCAAACAGTAATTTCCTGGGACAGAACCCAAAAGACCAAATTCTTGAAGACTGTCATCAGTAAATTTAAGGTTTTGCACAAATGCAA